TATATATATGTGTGTATATATATATATATATATTAATATATATATATATATGTATATATATTAATATATATATATATATGTATATATATATATATATATACATATATATATATATAGTGGAGAATGGAAAGAGTGATCATTGAAGGAAGGCACTTTGAAGCCAATTGGAAGGAGAGAGTTTTGGTACCTAAAAACCAAACTCATTTGCTTATCAACACCAAAGGGGAAGTGAGCTCTCAAGTCTTATAGAGGTAGGTTTCTCTTCCTTCCTTCCATTCATTTCTAATTATTCTAATCATTTTTGTGTCTCAAAGTTTCCATATTTGGTAATTATTTGTGGTTCTGATATAAATATGGATACAGTTAAAAAACGATAGTTTATATTTTATAATCGTTTTATACGATCTTGATATGTTTTTAGTTACAAGACTTCTTCGTGTTCATAGGTAGTTGCTCAACTTGACACGCTTCATATCAGCATCATGCATTTCCTCCTCATTTCTGTTTTTTCCTTGGTGTAACTGTGACTCATATATCATTTTGGTTATCTTTTATTTTGTCCTCTAATAGGGTCGGAAGCTGATGAACCAAAAGCTTAAGTTAAATAGTCCCAGATTGTAATGGACCAAGGTGTTCTTAGTCTTTAGAATAAAGTGTTATGAGTCGTTTACCAAACGCTTACTCGGGTAAGTAAATGATAGTGTTAAATTTTACCGATAAGTACTTATCGAGTAAGTGTTTGATAAACGACTCCTTAGTTTAGGAATATGGGTTTTTAAACCTTTCGAAAATCTTACCTCTTTTTCTGCCCATTGTACATATTTTACCTTTCTATAGTAATCTTTTATGCCTGAATTTTTTGTATCAATTTTGATTCAAAATATGAGGTGTACAATGCACAAATCGTGTGATTTTCATAAGAAACTGAAGAAAAATGTTATACACACTTCTAAAAAGAGAGAAATTATGGAAGTCGCAAACGCAAGGACCACCTTGTTTTAATAAAACATCACGTCATACACCATCAACCACACAAAATTAAAAAAAATTGAATAAAGGAAAAGCAAGGGAAAGCTAGAACAATTGAAGTTCGTGGTTAGGAATTGCGTACTGTTGCATTAATAAACGTTCCTACATGTATTTTTCTATCTGAAAGCAACATATCTCCTTAAAAAATTTAATGTCCCTATTTAAAATATAATTATGTATTCTTGTTTAATGTTGATATTAAACAATATTTTGTTTAACAACCACCTTAAAATTTTAGTATGACGTAAACCATTCTCTCTTATTTTCACATGTTAATGCATACTTTTTGGGTCATTTATAAATTTTCAGGGTCTGTTTGACTAATACTAAGGAATGAAAATGAAAAAGATAGAGAATGAAAATTGGAATGAATTTTCATTCTACCAATTTAACCAGGAATGAAATTTTGGACTTTTGGAGTAATGAGCTTCTTATATTATAGAAAACCAAACAGTTTCTTTTATTATTTTTTTTCATTGATTACTATTTAATACATCTAACTAAATACCCCCTTGTAGTTTTTACTTTTAAATGATCTAAAAATTTCTTTGTCAATAAATAAAATAAAAAAAATATATATATTTGTTCTTGTCATCGTTATAAATTATCAAACTTGATATTGTTTTTAATACATATTTATTTTAATATTTTTCTTAATACTTATTTCCGAATTTACATGCATGATATTAATAAAGATTGGTTGTAATTTAACTTTTACAACTTTATTATAAGTTTTCTGTCTATTTTACTTTTTTTTATCTATCAGTTATTAATCATTACTTAAAATTTCATTTCTGTTAATAACTCAGTTTGCATAGGCCTTATTTGTTTTTTGAAATTTTTTTTTTTATTAATCTCTTATGTATGATTCGTTAAAAGGTAGGATCATTCAGACTGTTTATTTTTTTCAATTCTTTAAAGAGACTTATATCTTATTGTCCTCTTATCTGGTAATAGGTAAACAAACATCTTATTCGCCTCTTATTGTTCTAAAAACTTTTAACAACGACATTTTTCAATCGATTAACCTTAATTGGCCATTTTTCTCAATTTATTCTTAAATCGATCCTTACATCTCTCAATTGATGTATTTTAATAGGATTTAAATGTGACAAATATCGTTAATGCCATATTTTCGTTTAAAAGAATGCTAGTTATATAATTTAAATATAAATTTCATAATGATGATGAATAAATATATGAAATTGTATAAATTTATCTATAAATTTAACATTATAAATTTCTAATCGGTAAAATAGATAATTTGAACAAATTCAGACAATAATTAGTTTACAAAAACAAATACCTTTTATTGGTTCAGATTTCAGTATCACCTCTTATCAATCAGAATTCAAGAAGGAATAAAAATCCCCTTGTAGCTACGGAGGTTCAAATGTGATGACTCTAGGCTACCCACGAAGCGGGTGGTCGTCCTAGAATTAGTCGGCTCGTATAACGAGTTAGTTATCCAAGTTAATAAAAAAACTATAAAAACCAAATCAAAAGATTGACTTTGATTGGTTAAAAGCCAAAACAATTGATCAAAGAATAAAAAATGCCCCTTGTTAAACAGATTTTTTAACGATCGTTAAATTGAGGGACCAAATCTATATGTTTTTGTAAACAATGATGGTTATTTTAAAATTTTGAAACTTTATTGAAGAAAAGTGTTATTATGCATATTAAGGGTGTTTGAACAACCCAAGCTAATGCTTGTTGTTTGAAAAAATCTTAATCCCCAACCCAAATTAAACCATACGGGTTGGTCGAGTTAGTCGGTTTGATACTTTGGTATATTAAAATATTCTTCTAACCTTGAATATATTATTTCTCTATTTATAATTTTTTTTTCATAATCAACCATTTGATACAACTTATCTATACTTCTTACATATATTGCATTCAGTTAATTTTCTCAATTTACATATTTATGTTCACGATTACTAAACATATATACGAATGAGTTGTAGATTGAATATATATATATATATATATAAAGAATGTATATGATAGTGTAATTGTATAATATATATATTAACAGAAATTCAACTATCATATTAAATCCAAAAAATTAAAAAAATATCAAATTGATCGTTAAGTTGAGCTCAAATAATAATATAACCTTACAACCACATCGGATTGAATTATTTCGCTTCTTTGGTTCGATTTTCAAGCACCCCTATTGTTTTCATGTTTCCTGAAGCTTCAAGAGTAACCTAAGGTTATAGGAAAACGTAAAGAATACTATTGTTAGGGTTTTTTCTTGCTGAAATTTCATTCGAGTGATTGTTCTTTATCTAAATGAAGACAAATTCACATACAATCACCCAAACTTAGTTCAGATTTATACTGATTCCCAATTACGACAACAACTCTCAAAGATTTGACGAAAATCACACTTAATTTCATCTTTATACTATTCTTCACGTCTCCCTTTTTCTTTTATCCAATTATTTCCATTTTCAATTTCCCTGTAACAATGCTGGATAAGAGAGATAAAGTAGAGAGAGTGATCGCATGTGTTTGGATCTCAGAAACATGGAAAAAGGGTAGACGGAGGACAATTATAAGGACCAGGTTCCATGGTTACAAAATGTTGAGCAAGTTATGTGGGTATGTTCTTGGAAGCATCCATTATTTCATGTGCAGTATGAATTTTTGTTTATAGTTTAATCTACTTTATGCAAATCTGTGGGTTCCCCTAATTCTGATGTTTCTGTTCCTTTAATTTCGTAGAAATTGATATATTAATAACGTTTGGCACGACTTTCTTGAATCGGGTGTTGGAGTATTTAAATCAAAGTTGAGAATTGCTTTAGGGATGGTGTTATCTGAGGGACTATTATATGGCGTGCAGGCTAATCCGTGATTAGTGAATTGCTAGTCGGTTTCATTCTATATAGTTTACTTGATTGACCAAGACCATTGTTCTAGATGTAAATAATGTGTACCTTTTTGAGGATTTGAAATCACAAGTCATCAGTACAACCATGGTCATAATTGATACGTGGTAAATGTAAGTTAAATTGAAGAAATAACTTTAGGACTAACACAAATGTCACCATCCAACCGTCCTACATGGATAGAAAATGAGATTTGTGAGCTCCGTATAAGCACAAAGTTGTGGCCTACCAATAATTTTCACCGTAGTTTTAAGTTGGTTAGGAGCTTATTGGGTACGCATGGTACTTTGGTCTTGGACGTTACACTAATCCAATGTATTGAGAAAACCTGCGGTGGCCCTGAGAGGACTCGAACTGGTGACCAATATGAAACAATAAACAAGGCTTGACTAGTTGAGCTACCCCCAAAGGTTGAGCTTCTTTAGTTGGTTCAATGACATTTCAATGAGCTTGTGATTTATGTTGAACTTGATTAAACTAAAAAAATGCTTATCCTATTCCTGTGACTTAAGCAAGTCATCTTCTTTTCATGACATATAAGGTTCTGTTTGTGGTCAACGCTTTTGGAAACATAACAAAACCAAACTTGGACTAGGTGTACTTTTTATCTCTTAACTTACATGCATCATAATCGCTAGTGAACCTGGAAATCATGGTTCTCTTAGTCTTTATCTGAGGGAGGCTTGTCCTGCTATTATAACTCTTTAAATGAACATGCTGTAATTCTTTAATTAAATCTGATAGAGGTTTGTAATAGTTCTTCAAGTGAATTGTGGCTTGTATTGATTGAAGGACCTTTCACACGCATTTTTTCTCAATTTTCATGAAACTTTTGGCATTCAACTTCTTGTGGGATGTTAGTAGGAAAACCATATTCACTGATATAATTCATTCATCTGTTTTATTATGCTTAACATACTGTAATGTATGCATCCTACAGGTTTTGAACATTGCAGGTTGAGGGTTGAAGGTTTTCCTGTTCACCATCTTGCAATTTTTACGTATATACCTTCTTCCATACTATGGCTGAAGGTGGTGTTGTGCTTCAAACACAAAGAGAACGGAATCTTCCGATCTTTGTCTTCTTCAAAGATCTTAGGTATTTTCTTCACATGGTATATAGTCTGTGTTAAGAATTATTTTGTTTCTGGTTGGAATGAACTTTAAACAACAATATTGTTGCTGATGGTGTTCTGACCGATGAAGGCTATAGTTGTTAGATTGCAGTTGAGCTTAGAAATTTCTTGGTTACTAGAATGAGATATCATTTAGAGAAGTTCCGTACTGTTTTATGAGCTTGTATGTTGTTTTTCTATTTGGAATCAGTTAATCAACTGTTGGAGTTCTTATGGTCATATGAAATGGTTCTGTAGGCTGGTCCTCAAGATGGACGCTCTTGGAAAGGAAATACTTTTTATTGCTGTACCTGCAGCCATGGCTTTAGCTGCTGATCCTCTTGCTTCTTTAATTGATACTGCATTCATTGGTCGTATAGGTATGTCTTCTTAGTTCATTTGATCCTGCCGTTGTTATATTATATGTATGCATAATGTTTCGCATGTTTTTCTGTACTTGGTGATTGACATTATATTATTTTCATCGCGTGTTCATGGTATCCATGCATGATTAATACAAGAAAATCAAGAAAACTTGATAAATATAACTCCCTTCGTCCCAAAACAAGTGTCCACGTTTCTATTTTAGCTTGTCCCAAAATATGTGTTCACTTTCAAAAGTAAATGCCTCCTTTCCAATTCTATACTTAAATTATAAAATGGAGAAATTCATTACTCCCTCCATTATTTGGAGTAAAATTGTCATTTGGTTGATTAAAAAGTGTAATAATTACACATTGTGTCTCTTTTTCATTATGAACAATTTTTTTTGGGACGGAGGGAGTATAAAGTATAAGAGAACTGTTGATTTAGTTCCCGTGCCTGTAGCATAACATAGTTGTTGAACCATGTCTTTACAATGTTACCAGTATCTGCCTAAGTTATCAAGAGGAACTCGTTGATGTACTTATGGTTTAACATAAATCTCCTTTTTATGGTTCTCCATAATCCATTATGATACGCACTGTGTCGATCAAATACGTGATTGCTATTGGAATCATATCAACTGATTACAGGACATTCTCGGCTTTTGACAGGCCTACAGCCCAAAACAACTACAAAACTAATCGATAGCTTTTGAGAGGACATTCTCGGCTTTGAGAGGCCCACCCCCAATACCCTCTATTTATACTAAAAACTACTCACCGACTTAGATCCCATGCTTCAGCTAGTTGTACTAATGCTACAGTCACTTGTACCAGCCTACCATATTTTGACTATTTGACCTAGGGTATATCACATTATGAACTGTTTTGAAGTCGTGTAGGATTGCAATTTGTAATACCTTAAATATTGATGCTTTTGTATAGGCCCGGTGGAAATTGCGGCTGTTGGAGTATCTATTGCTATTTTCAATCAAGTTTCAAAAGTAGCCATATTCCCACTTGTTAGTATTACAACTTCCTTTGTTGCCGAGGAAGAGAGTTTAGAAAGAATGAACAGTGAAGCAATGAAACTTCAGAACACTGAGAAGGCTTCTACGAATAAACAGGAGACAAGAGAATTAACACAAGATGATGTCAACCTTGAAAACTTGGAAAATGGTTCGACAGAAGAGGATCAGATAAAGGGGTTGGCACCAGAAAATGGTATGTTGCCATGGTAATTTAAAACATCATTCTCTTATTCATTTCTTCACATTGTTGCTTTTTTATAAGTGTGTGCATATACCTATATATATATATATATATATATACGGAAAATACTTACGCACACTCCTCACCTTTGGTGAGGTTTGAACCCTTGGCCTCGAAGGAGGCTAGGATTTACCTTTAACCTGGATACCACTGGGCCAATGACCCTTGGGTTTTTGACATTGTTGTTCTACAGCACAAGTTAAAAGTTTGTATTCATGATCTTGTGGGTGTCTTGGTCTTATTGTTGATCAGGTTTCAAAACAAGCCCATGCAAGCATATGACCAGTACTGACGTCTCAAATAAGTCAAAGCTCAAAAAACTAAAGCGGAATATCCCTTCAGCCTCAACCGCATTGCTGCTTGGTGCAATTCTCGGTCTTCTTGAAACACTACTACTTGTACTTTTAGCAGAACCATTTTTGAGTTTAATGGGCGTGAAATCCGTAAGCATCTACATTCTTATGGTGTTTTGGAATAGCATAATGTTTTTCTGACTCTGCTCTTTCTATATTAAACAGGGTTCTCCGATGCTATTACCCGCACATAAATATTTGACCCTACGTGCACTTGGAGCTCCGGCAGTCCTTCTCTCTTTGGCAATGCAAGGTGTCTTCCGTGGTTTCAAGGATACAAGAACTCCTTTATATGCCACTGGTACATCACTTGTATCTTTCATTCGTTTCTTTATAATTGATGATCCAACTACTTTTTTCGGCATAATAATGCAACATATTTACCTGTTCAAATGCAGTTGCAGGAGATGTCGCCAATATAATTTTGGATCCAATTCTTATCTTTGTCTGCAATTTGGGAGTCAGTGGCGCAGCCATTGCACATGTTCTTTCCCAGTAATTATCCATCCATCAGATTTGTGCATTATATTTGTTTTCACTCATTCAACTTTGAAACAGATCGGTTCATGAGTTCTTGGAAATTCTGTTCTTGTGACTAAATGCTGTCAACTTTTTGCAGGTACTTAATATCAATAATTCTGTTAGTCAAATTGATGCAACAAGTGGACCTACTACCTCCAAGCGTCAAAGCTTTGCAGTTCAGCCGGTTTCTTAAAAATGGTATGCGAGAATTAATGCTATCTATATTTGGGAAAATTGATCTCATGCTTTAGTAATTGGTTACTCTATGGAACATGATAAACCTATTACACTTGTGCTATGTAATTAAGTCGATGGTGTTCACATTCCAAGTTCCAACGTATTTCTGGTGCTTTCTATACAGGTTTTCTATTGTTGTTTAAGGTAATAGCAGCAACTATCTGTGTGACCTTGGCTGCATCATTGGCTGCGAGGTTGGGTGCCACACCTATGGCTGCATTCCAGATTTGCTTACAGGTGTGGTTAACGTCTTCACTTCTTGCTGATGGTTTGGCAGTTGCTGGACAGGTATATGCCTTTTGATTTATATGATAGTCTATCGAAATGCTTTCAACCCCTCTTTTCCCCCACCAATGTGTGTTAGGCATAATGTACATGTTTCTCTAAACCTCGATGGTTTGGTTTGTTCTTTATAACAAATTTTGAATTTTGAAAGTTTGTACATTGCTGTTAAGGTGAGTATTGGTTGATATTTTTGTCCATGGAATATTCTAGGCGATAATTGCTTCATCATTTGCTGAGAAGAACTATGAGAAGGCAACAGCAACAGCAGCTCGAGTATTACAGGTACGTTTGCGTTGTATGGTTATCACATATTATGTGCTCGTGGTGTTCAACGATTGAAATTCAATGGCTTTTGGTGGAACCGATTCAATTTAATCTTCCATTGGATGTGGGACTTTGTCAACAGATCTAATTCAATTAACTTTGGACAATCGATCCATCCATTGGATATTACAATTGCTTATTAATTGGATCCATCCAATATTTTGATCCAGTTTTCCAACCCATTAATCCACCATTTTAACAAGTTATTCAATAAATTTTCCTAATTTTCTTGAAAACACTACATACGAATATCAAATAAAAACAAATAGATATCCATACAAACATAATTTGGAAGTACAATCATAAGAAGAATAGTAAATGAAGTCCAAAATCATATGTAACAGATAAAGAGTAGCTATCATAGTTCTATCATATGTTTATATATATATATATAGAGTCGGGTTTGGTTGCAAAGCTGTCTTAGGTTGTGAACTGGGGGCCAAAGGAGAGAGCGTGCCGCATATCCCATACGTTCATGGGTTATTCATCATGAATGTCTATCATTCACGTGATTGGTGTACCAATATAGTGTATCATTGATCATGAATTGTGCATCATTCATCATGAATGTTCACCTTCCTTATCCATGAAGAATGTGGACACCGAGGACACGTGTGGTACTCTCTTTTGTCCCCAAGTTCACAACCTAAAATCGGTTAGCAACCTAACTTTTCTTTATCGTGTATATATATATATGTGTGTGTGTGTGTGTGTGTGTGTGTGTAGTAGATCACATTAAAAATTGTAGATGTTGTAATTTGCAGATGGGATTTGTAATGGGTTTGGGACTAGCTCTTCTTGTTGGACTCGGGTTGCAATATGGATCTGGGGTGTTCACAAAAGACATAAATGTTAAACACATCATCACCATAGGTGTCCCGGTACTCATCCATCTTTCTTAACCAACATCCTTTTCGATTGCTTTTTTTTTTTAACAATTACCACCATCTCATCTCCCTGCCCCTCTCTTTCCCACAAATCAGTTCGTTGCTGGCACACAACCAATCAATTCAATAGCATTCGTATTCGATGGAGTTAACTTTGGCGCATCCGATTTCGCTTATTCTGCGTATTCCATGGTTAGCATTTACTACTTAAGAACAACAACATTTTAATCTGCATTAAGTTTATGTCGGCTTATGTTTATCTGAATTTCCATCTTGTTAGATCCTAGTGGCTATAGGGAGCATCGGATCACTATTCGTTCTGTTCCAAGCTGGTGGTTTTCTCGGAATATGGGTCGCTTTATCCATTTTCATGGGCTTACGTGCTATTGCAGGCATATGGAGGTAACCTTTTCCGATCATATCAGATCTTTTTATTCCCTTGTCCCCTTTTCACGATTTTGGATCAAAATGAGTCACAATCATGCACTCGTTGAGCAACAACACAAACACCAACTAGTATGAACCATGAACCACTTATCGACGTGGTCTTGTGAACACCGATTGTAGAACAAATCTTTTGATGGTTTATTGATAACTTGTGAGTTCAATTTGCAGGATGGGCACAGGCACAGGTCCATGGTCTTTTCTTAGGAAGTAGAAGATGGTTGTTGCTTACAGGATTGATAATAAAGGAACGAGTCATCATCATACGATGTCGAAGCTCCTCATGTAGAGTCTTATACCTTCGTGGTTTCTTTCTTATACGATAGATTTCACCTTACATCTGTTTCCAACACTTGTTTTAAGATCTTTCGTTTTTCATGCATTGTGAACTTGTATGTTATGCATTGGCTGATAGTAACGTTGTAGTTTATACTATCGCTCGGTGCGTAGTTTGCAAGCTTTTCATACATGTGTATTATAGAAAAAGTTGCTTACCTAGCATCTCAATGTACTTGGACTATCTTCTCTTTTTGAAGTATATGATGTTTATATATGACAAATACTCATGCGTATTTTTCACCTCGGTGATATTTAAACCCTTGACCTCCTAACAGATGGGTTCTGGGGGTAACCAAAGTACTTTTGGGGCAATGACCCATTAGTACTTGGGCCATCTTGCATCTTGATCATTTGGTAGTTGGTATTGTAGAGATCAAGATCTACATACATGGTGACTTAGAGATTCATAAGAGCCGAGCTTTTTTGGGCCTGAGCCCGGGCCTTCCATGCCTGTTTACGATGATAAAAAAAGCTCAGGGTTTGGGATTGATAAAGGGCTTGATCAGGCTCTTTGGATTGGGTCTAAGCCCGACGTGCCCCAAAATTTTTGGCTTCATTGGGCTTTGAGGCCTCGCCCAAACCAGGCTTGGGGTTCACTAGGGGTCGACTTGTACCCATCATTTGCACTTGGTTATATTTAATTTAACAAATAAATATATCTCTTTTGCAAAAAAGGATTGGATTAAAATGATTCAACTCTATTAGTTTAATCAAATATTTTTTTTTTTGAAAAAAGTGACTAAATTTTAAATTTAACCAACCAAAACTTTTCAAATTTCAATTAATTATCTTCTTCTTTTATACTACTAACATTTGTCTTACACTTGGTTATATTTAACAAATAAATACATCTTTTTTGCAAAAAATGATTGCGCTAAAATGATTCAACTATATTAGTTTAATCAAAGATTCTATTTTTTTGGAAAAAGAATGACTAAATTTTAAGTTTAACCAACCAAAACTTTTCAAATTTCAATTAATTATTTTCTTTTTTTGTACTACTAACATTTTTCAAAATTTATTTTATCTATTAATGTGAGATAACCAACTTCCTAAAAAAGATGGTGACTAGAAGTTATATTTAACTAACCCAAACTTTCAAACTTCAACATATCATCTCCTCTTTATATACTCATAGTATTTGTGAAACTTTCTTCCCTCTATGAATGTGGGATAATCAACTTAACACCACAAACCAAGATTCAAGAAATTCTCAAACCTCATTGTGTCACATCATTTACGTACCTTTGGTTGTTCCTTTAATATATATATATATATATATATATAGTTTGATATAACATATAATGCATTTTAAATCATTATGTATATAAAAGAATATATGCATTGATGTAAATAAAAATATATGTGCATTGATGTAAATCAAAATACTTGTTTATGTAATTTCATTTATAAAGAAAAAAATTATATGTATGAAAACTTCTCATTGAACCACATCTTGGTTATTACTTTAATATATTATTAATATTTATATTGAGATATTGATTGATTTTGATGATTTATTTTTTCAATTGTCATGTAATTAAAAATATGCATGTATTGATGTAAATAAAATTATATATAGTTTTATATATTTGTGGATTCAAATTTCCTTTACAAAATAATGAAAACAGAGTTAAAAATGTAGGAAAATGAAAGGGTTAAAAACTAATGGGTTGATTGTATATTAAAAATAAATAAAATTAATGAGAAAAAAAAAAAGATAGAGAGGTTCTCATTGAACAACATTTTGGTTCTTCCTTTAATATAGATATATAGATTAATTTGTAGATATTCATGATATTTAATAGTATCATTAAATCTAAAAATATTCAATATTGGGTTCAATTCGAAGGTATTGACGAGCCAATTATAACGGTATAATTTGTAAAAAACGTATTTTTAAAATGCATTTTAGTTCATATACGATTATTTATATTAATATGATAAGAGTGTAAATGAAAAAGTAAGAGATATAAGGTAAATGAAATAACTAATTATAAGGGTATAGAATGTAATTTTGAAATTGAAAATGATTTGCTGTAAGCTTTAAAAACTTATACAATATTCTTAATTAATTGTACCTCTTAAAAATTCAAGAATAATTGAAACTCTTGCTTTTTAATATAGTACAAATATACGATTATTCATGTCAACATGATAATGATGTAAAATAAAAAATGAAAAAATGAGGGATATAATTTAAATAAAATCACTGATTATAATTAAGGGTATAAAATGTAATTTTGAAATTTAAATGATTTGGTAGTAGATCGTGGAAGGTTGTAAGCTTTAAAAGCTGTATAATATCCTTAATTGATTGTACCTCATAAAAATTCAAGATAATCATAACCTAATCTTTTTTAATATGGTATAGATAATATAGATATAGGTAAATCCATAAGGACAAAAAATATGAAGAAAAAAAATTGCATCGAAAATATTTAATTACTTTAGCATAAACAATAACAGAATAATAAAAAAGTTCATATGCTTAATTTATTAGGTCCAACAGCAAACACCAATTTAACATAAATGGGTTGGGGGGGGGGGTTTGATTTAGTAGCAGTGGATGACAATGTAACTTTATTACATATTCCATTTATAAGGACTCTTACTCCAAAGAGCATTACATCCTTGATATTCATAAAAAATGGTTTTATTAAATAAAAAAGACGAAAACAACAATAAATTACAAACCATATAAATGAAAAATGAAATTTCAAAACAACAAGAACGAAAATCATAGTTTACTCGAGTATAAGACAAATTAATTCTTATGTATTTATGATATTTAATAGTATGATTCGATACACAAATATTCAATATTAGACTCATTTCAAAGATTTGATGAGACGATTGTAATGATATAATTTATAAAAATAAAAACGTATTTTTTAAATGTATTTTAGCTCATATACGATTATTTATGTTAATATAGTAAGAGTGTAAAATAAAAAAATAAGAAATATAAAATAAATTAAGTAACTAATTATAAGGGTACAAAGTGTAGTTTAAAATTTTAAAATGATTTGATTTTGGATATGTTCCAAGATGTGGGAGGTGGTTGGTTATGAAGAGATGTATAGATAAGGGTGTAAAATTAGAAATGAAAAATAAGGGATATAAAATAAATTAAATAAATAACTATAAGGTATAAAATGTAAGTTTAAAAACAATTCATTACGTATTTATGTTATTTAATAATACGAGTAAATCAAAAAATATTTGATATTGGTCTCATTTTAAAGTTATTGACGAGACGACCATAATGATATAATTCGTAAAATAAATAAACCTATTTTTAATGTATTTTAGTTTATATTATATTATTTATGTTAATATGGTAAAAATGAAAAATGAAAATGTAAGTGATATAAAGTAAATTATATAATTACAAGGGCAAAAAGTGTAATTTGAAAATTAAAATATTTGATTTTCAATATTACACATGGTGGATGTTCAACAAGCTTTAACTATTATACATTTGGGATAATAAGTTATACCTCTTATAAATTTCAACATAACCATAACTCATGCTATAATATTCAGGTTTTGAGATTTGAGTTAAGATTTTTGGATTATATATATATATATATATATATATATATATATATATATATATTTGTGTGTGTATGATGGATTGTGAGATTTTGTGTGTGTTAGCCGACTTTTGAAGGGCGGTCATACACTTGCTATAAAGAGCAAGTGTATGTTAAAAGAAGAGGAGGTTGTTTTTATGAATTTTCTGCATATTGAGAGAAAAGGCTGAAGATAAATAACAGACTTAATCCGATCATTTTTATAAGGTGAGTGTTTTATGCTTTGATGTATCAATTGTGGTATAACAATTGTAATTGTTTGAAACGGTTTATTATGTTTCATATATTTTTCGGATTTCATCTAAACCGCTCAAGAGTTGACCGGATATTTTCCTTAAACCGCCCAAGTGTTGTCCGGATATCTCCTTAAACCACCCAAGTGTTGACCGGTTTATTCTTAAACCGCCCAAGTGTTGTCCGGATATCTCCTTAAACCACCCAAGTGTTGACCGGTTTATTCTTAAACCGCCCAAGTGTTGTCCGGATATTTTCTTAAACCGCCCAAGTGTTAACCGGATTAAGAGCTAAACCGCTCAAGCCATGTCCGATTTATCTTTTTCTACTCTAAGTAATTGTTCGGATTTCATATCCGGACAAGGTTGACCGGACTTCAAATCCGGCTAATGTGTTGAAGCTTTTGAGATGAAATGGCGGTGTAACCGTGAGAGAGATGTAATGGCGTTGTAACCGCGAGAGAGATGTAATGGCGGTGTAACCGTGAGAGAGATGAAATGGCGGTGTAACCACGAGAGAGATGAAATGGCGGTGTAACCGCAAAAGAGATGAAATGGCGGTGTATCCATGAGAGAGATGAAATGGCGGTGTAACCGCGAGAGAGATGAAAAGATATGTGATAGATATAGATAAAATGTTTGTGATATACATGTTTGATTCTAAACTGCTAGTTTAGAAAGTATGTTGTTGGTATGAGTTATATACACTCACTAGACCTTTTGGGTCTAACGCTCAGTTGTTGGACTAACATGTTTTGCAGGTCATCATACCTCACAAGATAGAGGCAAGGGAAAAGTTTAGAATTGATGACTTTTAGTTACTCATAAATGTATCAAATAAAGTTTTTGTTAATCTGTATTTTGTAAACGATGTTACATTTTGTGTTATGAGTAATATCATGTGGATTATCTGTATGGTGGAAATTATGGGTTGTTATAGTTGGTATCAGAGTCTTAATTTAAGAGATCTGGGTATTTGCAAAATACTTAGACTTAAACTAGAGGTGTGGAAGTTATAATAATAGGTTTCACTGTGACTATGAACATGGGGAATATGTTATAGTTGAACCTATTATGAGAAAGATAGATTATATATAATTGATATAATCTGAGTTATGGATAGACTTGAGGATAAAGGTGTTATTATGTTTTGATTATGAGAATAATCATGTGTGGTTAAATGTGACAGAAAGAGTTATACATTGAGAAATGGCAGATAATCCCGATCAATCAGAAAAGACCTCTACTTGTTATAGAAGAGGTCGGGGAAGAAGAAACGTAACACAAAGAGAGGACCCAGAGAATGTGATGACGATAGAAACGCGAAGTCGTAGCAGGGGTCGAGGAAGAGGTAGAGGTACTAGACAAGAACAGGAAC